TGTTGTGAGCTATGATGCCACAAGCACTTGACTCAAGACAACAGTTTCAGACTCTGTCTCAAAAACAATAAAATAAAAATAGTAATAATAATATTCTTTCCTGAAAAACTAAAGTTTTCTTCTTGTTTCAGATAGTTTCATTATTGTAAAAGGAAGATTTCATTTGAAAAAGGACTTTTGGTAACAAGAGTCAAACCAATTGACCCACTCAGCAGAATTCACATTCCTGGGACATGAGCCAGATTCACAACCACACCAGTAATCCTAACTTGATTTTTAGCCAAAGGCATTCAAGGAAGTCAAGATAATTCTCAGCCATTCTAGGAATTTGGTTTATTTCTGGGACTTCAATTCAAGCTTATCTGAACACCCAGAGTTTGTTGAACTGGATACTTAGTGACCAAACTGTAGTTGAAGAGTAATTCTACATTTCCCTAAAGACTTGAGATAAATAGTTATGAGTGACAATGAATTTCCTATCTGGGTAGGGAAGGGCTCTGTGATCAGCTATACACCTCGTCTTTGCAGGAATCTTAGCAAAAGGCAAAGCAGCATAATTTGGGCCCCCAAGTTGCATATCTACCTGCTATTAATTCACATATAGGAAAAAAATCCCGAGGTTGCTGTGAGCTATGACACCACAGCACTTTGAGTGTGACAAAGTGAGACTCTGTCTCAAAAAATAAATAAATGAATGAATAAGTAAATAAATAAAATACTGGATCCAGATAAATGACATCCTTCTCATTCAGAATACATTTACAGACATATTTCCAGGACTTTTTCAGTTATTCACATCACTGTTTTCTATCACTGACAAATTTCAAATACAGATAGTCATTTATATATTTTCATTTTTTTAAGCAAATTAATGAATTCTAAATTTATGGATGGGCTCTAAATTAATTAATCCTATTAATCCTAAAAATCAAGAAACTTGATTATTCCATCATCTGTGAATATTAAAAATACATTTGAAAACCAAAACTAAGATCTGCTTAGTTTTTTTGAGACAGAGTCTTACTCTGGGGCTCAGACTAGGATGGCATGGCATCAGCCTAGTTCACAGAAACCTCAAACTCCTGGGGTTCAAGCAATCCTCCTGCCTCAGCCTCCTGAGTAGCTAGGACTACAGGCACCTGCCATGATACTTGGCTAATTTTTTTTTTTTTTTGAGAAAGTCTCACTTTGTCACCCTTAACAGAGTGTCGTGGTGTCATAGCTCACAGCAACCTCAAACTCTTGGTCTCAAGAGTTTCTCTTGACTCAGCCTCGCAAGGAGCTGGGACTACAGGCACCCAGCTATTTTTAGAAATGAGGTCTTGCTCTGGCTCAAGCTGGTCTTAAACTCATGAACGTAAGCAATCCACCCATCTCGGCATCCCAGAGTGCTAGAATTATAGGCATGAGCAACCGTACCAGCCTTTTTTCTATTTTTAATAGAGATACGAGTCTCACTCTCGCTCAGGTTGGTCTTAAACTTATTTTTTT